TGAGCGACATGGGTACAGGTTTCGGGGGGAAGACATCACTGATAGTTCTGCAGCTGGAATTCTGAATGCTACAATGCATGAACCAATGCTATAATCCGTTTCCTCTCCGTCTTCTTCAATCTACTCATATCATACTAGCCTCGACCTGGTCGCATCAAAAGCCTGGCTGCATGTGTAAAACTTCGCTCTGAATCTAGCAATACCACCCACCATCAATCGGCGTGGCAGTTCCAGTCATGAACGATGACGCATCCGAAATGAGGAACTCGATAAGCGGCGGAATCTCCGTTTGATGTGCTTCCCTTCCGAGCGGAAGGAAAGAGTAGTCGACTGGTGCGCCTCGAATCTCATACGCCTTCCTCAACATGGGAGTATCGACTGGTCCTCTGGACGGATTTAGCGCGTTGATACCTACCAATTGTGTTTCAACATGTTAACTTACGGGCAGAAGCAGTTGACCCTAATATTCTTCGGCCCCAGCTCCTTCGCTGCGCTTCTTGTCATCCCGACGACGGCATGCTTGGAGGCACAATACGCCAACTGTTTTGGAGCACCAATGATGCCCAGGATACTGGCCGCGTTGACAATCGAGCTACCCTCATTCATGTGCGGCACCTGAGCGCGCAAACAGTTTCTCAACCCAGTAACATTCACAGCCATGACGAAGTCCCAGTCGTCATCTTCAACCTCCTCAATACCAGCGACGGCGCCTTGTCGGCCAGTTACACCTGCGAGGTTCGCTGCACCATCCAGCTTCCCGAACTTTTTGACTGTGGCTGCGATCCAGCTTTCGACGTCGCCACGCTTGCTCACGTCAACGACCTGGGTCATAACTTGTGAACCCGATTTCTGAAGCTCGCACTCGAGCTCTTTCAATGGCTTCTCTTGTACGTCGGCGAGCGAGAGTTTGGCGCCTTTGCTGGCGAACAGGCGGGCGGTTTCGAGGCCCATGCCTGACGCAGCTCCGGTGATGACGATGACTTTGTCCTTGAGAGACATGGTAGCTGATTTGTGAGTACTTGCTGGTAGGATGAAGTGTCGTAGTAAATTAATAGGTCGTGCGTGTTCAATGCTCCTTGAGCAACGCAACCACAAACGAAAGGAATTGAAGTGACCAGCATAACTGCCGACTAGTACGCGGTTTCAGTGGGACAGCCGACGTGCCAAACCTCCGAGCCTATTGGAACCACCTCGCAGTGCTTCGGACCGTTCCCACGATGGAGAAAGGAAGTCCTTTTCCGGTATAGCTTTAGGGCGCTTATGTACCTAGCGGTGAGGCGCGGAGGTCATAAATCATAACCCTTACCAATATTCAAGCAGCGATGGCCACAGGAACTTCCAGCTTGGAGAAATATTGACTGTACCGCATTGTTGTAGTACGTTCCGACGTTATAAGATGCGGTGTTTTGTTATAGCTGTTGTACTTGTGCGAGAGTTTGGTCGGTGGTGTAGCTAGTGGCGGGGCGTAGTGTCCATGACTCGACGCGCGGCGATCTCGGAAGGGCCGTTCCCTTCTGACCCTTCGGATCTCATCCTAGCTGGATTTGTTTCTGCGAGTGTACCTAAGCAAGGGGGGAAAGGGCACTTGAGTATATCTCTTCATCGTATCTTCGTCATGCCACAGGTTGAGCTGGGTGACGACAACCTCGGAAGGCTTCAGAGGCGTTCGAACACGAATAAGTCTATCAGATAGACTCGTTCTAGCTTTTGCGATAATGGGGTAGTTCCACCCTATAATGAAGATTGACGTAACCATCCATCCATGCAGATTCTACAGCGTGAAGTCCGTGACGCTGAGGCATTGATCAACAATTTCGCGATGATGGAATGGATGAGCAGCAAGCGATACATTCCTGACCACCAACTTCACGTAACGAACTTGACGGGTTGCGACATTGAACTGACAGGTCGCTATATCTTCTCAAGACACATCACAGCATCTTCGCAACCCTCGAAAATGAGTGATCCATGATGCGAATTTCGACTACTGCAAAGATGAAGTACTACGCTGGCGTAGCATTCTTTTCGTTGCTCGTCGGAAGCGCGGGAGGAAATAAGGGCGCAAGTTAGTGCCATTCAGTAGACCAATGCGTAATGCTGAACTGACTTACCAGCGAGCAAACCACCAACCTGGGTAACATACAGCCCACCACCAGTATCAAGTATCGCCACAGCGACCTCATCTTCTACGACTCCAACGCAAGAGCCGACTCCAACTTCCCCGACTGTCCTTACCAGCTCTTCATCAGCCTGGTCAAACAGTACTTCCACTACCTCCTCGACCCTCATCTCTATGTCCAATGTAGTCAGCACATCGACATCTTTTCCTAGTACTACCTTGGCGACCTTACCCTCTCCCACCTCAAGTCCCACTTCAGGTCCTCAACCGAATACCTTCTCAATCGAGATAAGTAACCAACGCCAACACGTCGGCCAATGGTACGGTCGCTACATATCCGAAGGCCTGACCGATACGCTCAAGAACCGCTGCGACGACGACAAAACTGGCGCTAATACCTGCAAAACCAAGAAGGACAAATTTGACAACATAGAGTACCCTGACAAAAATGGTTTCGTGGAAAAGAAAACGAAATTCGTTGAAGTCAACGTTGAGAGTGACTACATCCCGGGTAAAAACGAAGGAGGGGTCAAGTACGACGGAAAATCGCTACAGAACGCCTTCATCGCTCAGATCGCAGATACCTTCCAGAAGAGTGGCGAGGATGAGAAGAATTGTTACAAGTTTGACCAGGAGTCTACGATCTGCCCCGGCTGCAACCCAAACTTTTGCCTTTCATTCAAGGCGAGGAAGAAGATACTGAGGTGGTGTAACGCGCCGGAGTATGTTCGAGTGAGCGTCAAGGACGGAGAAGGGAAAGAAGTCGCACATATGAAGGTCGTGCTCAAGTTCACGGGTACGACAGATCAGGGGAAATTTGATTGCATGGCGATTCGAGAGACTGTCGAGAGAAGCGCTCGAGATAACCGGTTGAAGGATGTGAAAGACGCGATTGATGGGAAGGAAGTCGTGGCGAACGTGAGTTGCTCGGGAGAGGAGGTTACGGGGACTTGTCCCAATGAAGAGTGCTTGTATCAGTTGGGGCCGTGTTTCAAGTAGCTTACATATATTGAGGTATTACATATCGACTAGCAATGTTTCAACTATTTGCGTCGCACCGTGAGTCGTGAGGTGTGTGGTGTCGGTGGGAGCATTTGGTGAGGAGGCGTCGCTGGCGTTGCATGACCATGACGCAGCACCTCCGCCGGACTCCCGAGATATAATTTCCGTGGGGCACTGGCGCCCACCACGGCATGCAATACGCGCCTGTCATACGTCCCACAGCCTTATCCATCACAGTCACACGTTCTTCTCGTCTTTTTTATTACAATCGCGCATTCACATCCTTCAAAATAGGACGCAAACATAAAGCGCACCGCCAACAGGCGCAACAGAACAAGCCGTGGCGCAACACTGAAAAAGGTCGAAAGGGCAAAGGCAAAAGAGGCAGGATGGGACAGGACGAGTCACGGGTTGTAGACCCAAATGCGCCACCTCAGACCTTATCGGCGCGTACCTTGGAGGCTCTGGCGCAATACATCAAGGATGGGCGTGCGAAGAAGATTGTCGTCATGGTGAGTTCCAGCGCGTCAGCATGGCCAGACGCGTGCTGACATTCGGAAGACAGGTGCGGGCATAAGTACTTCCGCAGGCATACCAGACTTCAGATCACCAGAAACCGGTCTATACGCCAATCTCGCTCGCCTGAATCTGCCGTACCCCGAAGCCGTCTTCGACATCGATTTCTTCCGCAAAACGCCCGAGCCGTTCTACTCTCTCGCCCAAGAACTATACCCTGGGAAGTTCAGGCCGACGATAACACATTCCTTCATAGGCTTGCTCTACCAGAAAGGGCTGCTACTGAAGCTGTTCACACAGAACATTGACTGCCTGGAGCGCGAGGCTGGAGTCCCCGGCGATAAGATAATAGAGGCTCATGGCAGTTTTGCGACGTAAGTAGGCTTTCTTCTACAGGCTCCAATCAATACTGATTCGAGACAGGCAATGCTGCATCGACTGCAAGAAGTCATACCCAAAGGAGCGCATGAACGAAGCCATCCAGAACAAATCGGTGCCTCGCTGCGTCGACTCGTTATGTGACGGACTCGTCAAGCCCGAAATCGTCTTCTTCGGAGAGCAACTACCGTCCGCATTCTTCGACAACCGAGGCCTCCCAGCGCAAGCCGACCTGTGCATAGTCATGGGCACGTCGCTCAGCGTAGCTCCTTTCTCTTCGCTACCGCAACTTTGCGAAGACGAGACCCCGCGTCTGCTCATAAACTCAGAGAGGGTCGGCGATATGGGAACACGGCCAGATGATGTTCTGCTGCTGGAGGATTGCGATAGTGGTGTGAGAAAGTTGGCAGAGGCATGCGGTTGGACGGACGAGCTGGAAGCGCTCTGGGCAACGACCGCGCCTGCTGAGGAACCCGTGGCACCCAAGGAGACAGTCAAGAAGAGCCATGACGAGTTGCTGGAAGACGAGGTCGACAAGCTCACGCGCGACGTGGAAGAGAGTTTGAGGTTGAACCAAGCGGAACACAAATGGCTGGAGAACCACGTCGATAACAAGCTAGCAAGGAAGCAGGAGGATGATAAGGACAAAGACGACTCTCCGACCGAGTTGCAGCCAACAGTCGATGCGGCGTCAAGGGCGAGTCCTAGCGAGACGAAAACGGACCCCGGCGGTGGGCTAGGACATGTGTTTCCGCACATGAACAAGCCTTCGCTATAGATGCTGCATAATATGCTTGGATATATGGATATAGATACACGGTCTCACGATCATGAATGACGATAGCGTACTATGCGAGTCAACAAGGCGACCCGTTTTGGAAGTCGCGCACTGACACGGCTGCCTAATTCCCTTATATCCGAGTCTGCACCTTCCGTCTTCCTTCACGCCTATACCTCGCCCTCACTCTTTCTCGAAGAAATCAGGATGGCATCAATCACCGAGCTTCCTGCTGAACTACTCGATTTCATACTCGCCGATCTTGGTAGCCGCGCCATCATCAACCTAGCTCAAACATGCAAGGCCCTCCACGCCGTCGCCATACCGGCAGCGTACCACACCGTCACTCTCACGTGGGACAACACCTATTCAAAAGAAACCAGAGGACCGCAGCGCGGCATGCAAAGAAGAACTGAGAAAGCGCCTAGAATACAGTCTCTGATCCGCACGCTCACCAAGAAGCCCGAATACATCCTGCTGATCAAGAGACTGGAGTTCTGCGCCAAGGGATGTGTTGAGTACGGCTACTTAGACCTTGCCGACACTATTTTCCCAGACATTGAGTGCGATGGGTATGATAAAGAGTGGGAGAACGAGATGTTCAAGGTCCTTGTGAGGGATAGAGGGATGCAGCCCGGGGACCGTGGATGGGCCCAGCGCGTATTGATCGCACTTCTCGTCGGCACATGTCAAGCGCATTTGGAATCTTTGACTATGGAGTGGGGATTCTTTTTGGGTAACCCGTGGTTTCCTACTATGATGAGGCATGCCATCGTGAAGAATGCTGCAGCGTCAGAAGCAGATGACGGACAACCGTTATGGTTTGCCAATTTGAAAACTGTATGCGTTACCTTGGAAGAGACGGAGGGGGCGGCCGCAACGTGGGAGCGTAGTTTCTGGATCCGGCAAGAGGCTTTACTTCACTTTTTCTATCTGCCGGCGATAGAGTCGCTCGATATTGTTACGTGCTCATTAAGAGGGGGCAACTATGATGACTATGGCGGACTATGGGACGAGGCAGACGGAGTGGACGGCTCATTCGAGTGGCCACTAAAGACACCTCCTCTATCGCAAACACTGACGACTCTCCGCCTTACTCCCTCTTCGATGGACCCCCTTACTATCCAGTACCTGCTCAGGCAGACGCCCAACGTCAAGGTCTTCCAGTACGATTGCTGTTTGCATCCAGCACACCCACCTCTCCGTTTGTCGATCTTGAGGGATACACTACGGCATATTCGCGACACGCTTACCGATCTGACTGTGCGTTACAAGCACTATAACAACGATGGTAGCGATGACCCCCCAACCGACGCTGCGGAACCTCTAAGAGAGGGCCTGGGCCCACTACACGATTTCCCCGTTCTTACCACTTTGACTACGTCATTCCCAGTGCTGTTTGGTATGAATAATACGCCAAATCTAGCGAAACATCTCCCTCCGACGCTCGAAACGTTGACAATCACGAACGACCTTTCTGCGTATCAGGCACTCGGAATGCGCTTTGAGGATCTCAACGCCATGGCCATCTTCCGACAATACCTTGCGGGTCAAATACTAGCCTCGAGTGTAGTTATCTCTCACGAGGGTGACTCTTGCAAATGGGTACAAGATCGAGAGCCGGAGTGGAAGGCCGCAACACCGCGGCTAAGGAAATTGACATATGACGTGGGAACCCAGTTGTTTACGGGGTACTGGCTTGGGGACGAGCCTAGAGAGCGACTTTTGGGATTGTGCAAGACGCAAGGCATCGAAGGCGATGTGGTACCACAATATGACTCCTTTGGTCGACTCGTGGAGTCGGATTAATTCGTTAACGTATGGCATAAAACACTCTAGTAGTTTGTTTTCTGGCGATCATCTGTTCAAAAGATTAGTACACACATCCTTCTTTCATCATGTGCTGGCCTTGTACCAAATATCGCACGCCCCTCCATCAACATAAATAGCAAAACGTATACTCACAATTCGCACCCATAGCTTTCCTAAGCTTCATCGTCACAGCCTCTTCCTCCAAATCCTTCTTATCCCCTGTCTGGATCTCCACAGCATAGGTACGGATGACCTGCTTGACCTGCCCACTCTGGAAGCTCATCTTGGCTTTGCGCATCACCTTTGTTTGGGGTCCTATGGACGTCTCAGCAATGTCGACATCGAGGCAGGGGACATGACAGACCTTGCCAAACAACAAAAGCAAACTTGACGCGCTCGCTGTACTCGTCGTTTCCTAGCTTCATGCGCACGTAGGCGTATGCTGCTTCGTCGTCGCCAAGACTCTCCGTCATCTCGGCAATGTCGCCGCTTCCTGTGCCGGCGAGTTTGAGGTTATCTGAAGTCGCGGATGCATACTAAGGATGGTCAGCCGTCAGATCCCTCACGTTTTTTTTACTTGACGCCTTCGATCACGTCTCGGTGAGCAAAACTCTTCGGGCGCATTATCGGATGTACCTTCAAGATAAGCCACGTGGTCTCGGATTTGTCAGAGCGCACGTCTTCGTATGCTTGCGCGATTTCAGGATCGCTGAGGATATCGGCTGCAGAAGGCATGATTGGGGAAAGCTTTTGCTATCGCTGGATATGGGAGGGCGATAGCAGGGGTGGGACGACTCGGAAGGGGAGTTTTGAGGAAGTTGGGATGGGGATTCAGGGTTCAGCGATGCCGCCGCACTAGCCCCAACTAGTGCGGGGCTAGGCCGTCCAAGGAGCCGCGGAGGGCCAATGGGAATGGGGAGAGTGTGGGTCTGGAATCTCGAGTTCTGGCGGCCGCGATACCTCCTTTCTGCTCACATCTTCTGTCCATTGCGCACGTATGGCGGGTCTGATCTGGATCATTGTTGAGACAGGACCGCATTTTACTTTTGGGTGATTTCACGATGTACTCTGTCAACACTTCTACCGCTTTGCGAGACGAGTGTGCTCAACAAACAAAAAAGCGTGGAAGCAGATGCTGCTCGCTCCCGTGCTACCCGCAGTCTTGCTAATGCGCCTCACAGTTTTCATTCACCGTAAATATCAGAGGAGGTATTGAACTAAAGAATTTGTAATTTGATACAACTAATGCTCTTATCTATGAGCTATCTACACCTGACCCTACAGACCAACTCTATTGTCCAGACCTGGGGCCTTCGGTCTCGAGAGTGGCACCGGGGAAGTTTATGCCATAGTCGAACATGCTCCTGCCCGCCGGCACGCCCTGGCATCCGCCGCCTAGATCCTTAAGCGGCTGCAGCGCCGGCCCAAGACGACTGTCAACAGCCGCCAGAGCAGCAGTCAGAGCAGCACCTCCTAGAAGCTTGCTCAAGAAAGACGGGGTATCCGCCTGCACAGCCTGCGCGATGAAGCAGCCCATCTTCTTGGGGTCGTTCAAGTCCTCTGCGAAGTTGATGAAGCCGCCAGTAATGTCACCCAGGTTGACGCCCGAGAAACTGTTGACGGCGCCCGTGTTGCCACCGACCTGGCAGTTCAACGGGTACGCGGCACATTGCTGTGCGGTCGAGACACCAATGTCTGCAAGCGTCCATGGGTCGAGCGGGTGGCGCTTGTACCAGTTGTCTGGGATACGCTCATAGCCGTACTTGTACGTCAACGCACCGCTGGCGTCACGCTTGTAGCTGAAGAAGTCCATGAATACATCTTGCGTCAGGAATCCGCGGGGAGCCTCAGCGCTGTGGTTCGCAAGCAAGTGGTACGCGAACATGTGTGCGCCAAAGGTGAATGCAACACCAGCGTACGCGGGACTGAAGTAGAATGGGTTGGTAGCGATACTGTGCTTTTTGCGGTTGTTGGAGTGCTCTGCGAGAACGCGGGGCGTGATCAGACCTCCTGCGCGCTGGTTGGAAAGGTCAAAGAGCTCTTGCATGTATTGCGGGTAGGAGCGGCAGTTGGAGTTCATCTCAGGTGCGAGCCAATCGCCACGGGTGATACTGGCATCGCCCTCACTTCTTAGATGGCCGTATGCGCAGATTCCTGTTTCGTTGCCAAGGAGGTCACCAACCAGTGGAGGAAGAGAGCTGGTCTTGTCTGAATGGGGACCGATGCTCCAGCGGCCGGAGATGGGGTCGCCGTTGAAGAAGGCCGTTGCGGTCTCGAGGAAGATGGTGGCTGTCTTGTCGAGGCCGAAAGCTTGCCAAAGACCGGTGTTGATGCTTGCTGCATCGACAACACCGTCGCGCTGGATGTAGCCGTGGTTTGCGGCGGCGTTGAGGCCGGCACAAGGACCGCGGATGTCTCCTTTGCCTGGGGCTCGCCACTCGTGCTCGCCAGATGTGTTGACGAGTTGGAGGGCAGGGTCGAATTGGTTGAAGAGAGCGTGGTTGGGTGTGCCTGGGTATTCTGGGAATTCGATAATTTGTGGCGTTGTTTGACGCTCTTGGATGCGCTTCTCAGCGACCATACGAGCTATCTCGGGGAAAGCTGAGACCAGCAGAGCTGGCCCGGTAAGGAGCACGAGGGACGTCTTCGCAAACATTGTGTAGTGCAGTGATGGAGGGTGAAGAGATGCTGACGATAGTGAGCAGATCTCGTCTATCTTATATTTCTTTGCATCCACGGCTGCAGACTAGCGTAAGTTCCCCACTGTGGAGTTAAGGGTCACTCCCAACGCTCCTCATAGCCGGTGTCTTTGGTCTCGAACGAATTCGAGTATCTTTTCATGGTTGATCCGCTAGTACATGGACTACTTTGTCAGTGTGCAGCCAACAGTCTCGGTGGCGACCATAATCCATTGTCTGGGGTAGTCGAACAACCGTCCCAAGACAGTAATCGCCCACGTCGATCTGCAAGGCTCACATGGCTGGGGTATAGTCGCCAAGACTGGAGCTACGAGCGGCAATGCGCTATTGAAGGACAACGGATGCCATTCCGTGATCAGCAGTATAGTCAGACCCTGAGTTGGCTGCGAAAGAAGTCCAGGAATGACAGAGTGCCCTTCGAGACCCTCTTGTTTGCCTAGTCATGCCGATGTAGCAGTGAAAAGGCCTTAGACAAGGAGGTGCTGGGAATTCGCAGTGTTCTCTTAAGAGGCGACTGGGGATAGATCCAAGTTAGAGTAGCACCACGGCGAGTCATGACTGTTGCGGGGAGTGTAAGTGAAGTTGCGAAGATCCTCTAGTAGTCTCCTACACAGCTTTCAATTTCTTTTGACGTGGATTACAGAAGTCTTCTTGACGCGAAATGGACTGGAGGATGTATCATCCGATGGGAAACAATTCAGTGTGCTACGTCGGGTAGTTCCCGCGCGGTGCAGCCCAGCAATGATGGATGTCATCCACGATACACCCCTAGCCAACTTCTTTTTTGTTATTACCGTCCGCTTGTCCGGAGCCTGGAGATGACTTTAGTTCTTTTTTTGATGAAAAAATATTCATTGTTGGCACGCCAAAAGTGGCACTTGGCGGACAGACCCCGTGGAACTCCGCAAACTGCCTGTCAAGATGTGAATAGACTCCAAGACGCAAGTCCGTTTGACCCACTGGCAACATGCGCTATAGACGGAAGGCACCGTGTGAATCTGATCAAGATGACGGAGCGGCGTGGCGTCCAGCGCAAGTGTAGAGATAAGCTCGACGAAATCGTTGTTTAGCGCGACGCTAGCGGAAACTACCCCGGGTCTCGTTCATTCCGTGGTTCAGATCGACCATCAAATTGCCCGGCTGGTGCTTGGGAAGATCCACGACTGGCACTTCTGACATACGAGAACCATGCTATTGGCTAATAGTCCCAGCAACAGCGCCCTGCGCCGGCGACCCTTACATGGCGTCGCCGTCTTCTCCAGATAATGAGTAATTAGTAATCTACCTAGGTAGTTTTCAGGGGAAAGTGTACCGGATAACCCTCAGTTGCCGAACAACTACCGAAGAAGATCTCACCAATCAGTAGTCTTGCTTACTGCTCACCAGTAGCCATGAGTTCATCAGTGAGCTGTCTTGCATCGACCACTCGATAACCAGTCCATTTGGGGAAGTTTGTCGCGTCGCAGTGCAGTCATTTTGGCATTCCCATACGACCGAGTTCCATAGGTAGAGGAGCATTTTTCTCAACCTCGTCTATCCATAGGACGACGAACGTGGCAACATCCGGCAAGAACACGAGGCTCAAACTATGCGATGAGAAGGTTCGTCCACACCCACAGTCTGGGCAATTTGATGCACGCAAGGCCTGCAAGTGCCGTCAGCCTCGCCACCATACAGGCCTCCTACTCTTGAAAGACTTAATCGTCACTACCCACGCATTCTCCACCAATCTCAAATACTACAAAGTGTAAACGGCACTAAGTCTTGGCAAGATGTTCGGTCCCTAATAACAGTCACTCAAAAAGACATCAGCACCAAGCGTTCGGCAGTGTATGCGGTCTATCGCCGTTGCCTGTACGTCCGTAAGACTCCCGAGGCTATGGAGCCATCCCCGCATATCTTCTCAGTACTACTACGGCAAGAACCTCGGGAACTTCGCCGAATCTTCTCCTATGTTTACAGGACACGGAAAGGCTTTTCGTGATGCGAGCCTTTGGGAAACGTCTTTGGGATTTACTCAGTGATATTAGTTGGCAGCTTCCTGGTCTTGATGTACTCAATTTAGTGGTGTCTGACGGGGAGATGGCTGACTAGCTAGGTGCTCATGTAGGTCCACCTGCATCAGTGATGAAGGCGGCTTGCTGCCCGTTCGTTGGGCAGCAAAGAACAAGCAGAAAGAGCGAGTGTGACACGATCGGTGTAGACTCTCATCCTTTGATGCGCCACTTGCAACTACTCTCGCTTGTTGAATGTGCTGGTCTTAGAACGCAGGCACCACGCGACTGAGTAAGACGGTAA